ATGCATTTTTGACAGGCATACAAAGACATTTGCAACAGATGCCGGGAGATACGTTGGGTGGGGGCGACATACTGTAAGGTTCCAGCACATTACCCTGATCCAGGAAATCCTGGCCACTACATGAACGTGTTCAAGACTCCGAATACGCTGAATGATGGACAACAACAACCTGTTGATAATTTCACCCCTAGAGCCAATTTAAAATGTTTTAAAGACGGTGCCATTTCATCTGGTGCTAGTGAAGTGAAAGAAGCAGCAGATCGGTATTTTTGTTGAGGAGAAGCACATGCTTGAGTATATCAGACATCTTGAGGAACTGCAAATTGTATCTATGATAAGAGAGAATTCCGGATTGTACTCCTTCGATTCCGAATTCTAGAGGGTGGGGGCATTGAAAATTTTAAAAACTTGGAGGGGGGAGCATCGAAATTTACCGATAACCTCAACAGGGGCCCTGTAAAAATATGAGCTTTTTTCAAGACACCCCCCCCCCCCCCCCTCGGTGTAATAAATGTACTTTCCCTTATAATAAATATCCGATGCGTCAGCAATTTGCCAATCCTATATTTTTATCACCAGCTAATAAGTTTCCGAAAAGGTTCAATTCATTGTTTGAGCTGCGTATATTAGACCAAAATTCTCTTAAAAACATGTATTTTCTAACCATTAAATTAATTTAAAAGGTGACGCCAGAACGCAGGAAATGCTGTTTCAGAGGCCCGAATTTTAAAAATTTCCCACCTAGTGGTTGTGTGGACCTAGTAAACCTGTCATCCAAAACGCTGGGTGCGCCCCTGAATGATGTTGAAGAAAATCCTGGACCCACAGTATATGATGTGGTAGATACACAATCACATTCTGAATGTTAGTGTGTGGGATACATCATTATTGAACAATATAATGTATGCAGGTAATAATCTTTATACTTTTATAAGCAACTCTGTTAACAAAAGCTATTTACTTTTAACTGATGTTCCAGAACTTGTATCAGTTTTTGACAACATTTATAGTTTACAATACAGTGAGCCTTTGGCTGGAGATCTGTTTATGGAAACTACCAATTTACCTTACTATTCTCTGGAGAATGCTCTTTATAATTTGTTTGACGATTCTCAGTTTAATTATCAACATTGTATGCTAACAATAAATTGCAACACTATTGCAATTTTTAAAACTTCTGAAGGTAATTTTAGAATTTTTGACTCTCATTCAAGAGATTCATATGGCATACCACGCCCATTTGGAAAATGTGCGTTAATTTCAGTTGAAGATATATATACATAACCTTACAACCTATCTTCAAAACACTATTCCTCGAGGGGGTGCAATACCGTTTGAAATAAAGGGGGTAACTCATGTTGAGCTTACAAGTGCAAATGAATGTTTGCATGTAAAACAAATGCGGATCTGAGGAACCAGAACCTCAAAAGCAACTGGATAATGATATAATGTATCAAAAAATTGAACGAGCAGCCGAGACTGAATCAGAAAGACAATTTAATTTAAGACTTGTCAGTGAAAGTTAAAAAACAAAACAGGCCACAGAGCCAAACTTTGTAAAGCAACTTAGACTTGAAAATAGAAGAAAACATTATTGTGAGTATAGAAGAAAAAAACGAGCAAATGAAACTGGTGTTCAACAGCAAGCCAAGAAAAGCAGAACTTCACAAGATTGGTATTCTCATCAAAGCTGTTCAATCAATGACAGTCAAACTAAAAATCAAGATAATTATTTGAAAGAATTTGACTCAAGGAATGGTAGTATTCATGAACAATTTTGGGCAAAAGCTAATATTAAAAAATTTCACAAATCTGTTGAATTTTTCATCAGTAAATGTTCCATTTGTCATGAGGCATGGCTTCTTAAATCTAAACCAAAAGTGATTATGAATGTTCGCGATGTTTTAGAGATAAAATATCTCCTAAAAAATTTTCACTTGAAAATTCAATGATTCCTTCTGCTATCCCACAGGAGTTACAAGATTTGACCCAAGTTGAGGAAATGTTGATTGCTCAAGCACTCCCAATCATGAGAGTCTATATTAAACCAGGTGGACAACGAGGTTACTCAGGGCAATGTATCAACTTGCCACAAAATGTAAAGGAATTGGCCACATCTTTGCTAAGATATCCAAATGAATTGTCTGTTATCATTGTCCAAACTAAAGGTAAAAATAACACATTTAAAGATTTGACTGTAAGGAAACAAAAAGTGCACAATGCTTTATTATGGCTAATGCAAAATAACCCTCATTAAATTCCTTGCCTGAAAATGGCGTACCACCAAGTCTTATGACTGTTGAGACTGATGATGACAAAGTCTCAGATGATAATTGTTCTCCTGATGTAGGTCCTCCTACTGATAATCCATCAGAGGATATTATTTATAATGACTCTACTGAAATGAGTAGTTTTTTACCTGTTGGCGAACAGCAACAACAGGAAATTGAAGCTGTTAGAAATCAGCTCTCTGAAAATGAACCCATGCCTTGGCCTACAATTGAAACTGGACCAATTAATGAATATCAGATATCACATTTGGCCACAATGGCTTTCCCAACATTATTTCCTGATGGAAAAGCCGACCCTACTAATTCAGGTATATTAAGAGACGTTCCTCTTCAAGAACGAATTAAGCATCTTTTGAAATGTGCTGAAGTTATTCATTGTAAATGGATCTACCGTTTTGCCAGCCATTCCAGATTTTATATTGGGCTTTTAATATGATCCAAAGAAAACGTATTTTGCAGCAAAGTGGGATATTCCTAAAACAAAATCCAGGTGAAGCACATCTCACTATTGATGAACTAAGAGAAATGGCTGCCAGTAACAACACTAATGTTTTTATGTCCAAGCTTTCAAGGTATGTTGGCAATATTGCTGGCACTAATGCTTATTGGAGTAGAGTAAGAGAAGAACTCAAAGCCATTATAACTAGTGTTGGAGCACCAACATTATTTTGTACTTTTTCCTCTGCAGATATGCATTGGCCTGAGTTACATGCTTTATTTAAAGCGAGTACTGATTGCGAAACGGGTAGTTCTACCAGTAATGTAAGACGACAAAATGTTATTAACAATCCCCATATTGTGGATTGGTTTTTCACCCAAAGATTAGAAAGCTTTGTAAAACACTGGCTTTATGAAACACTTGGTGCGAAATGGCACTGGTTTCGATATGAATATCAAGGTAGAGGTATCCATTGTCATGGTACTGCTAAACTAAATAATGACCCAGGTTTGTGTCAACTTACTCAGACTGCTTTGAAAGGTTTCTTAGCTCAAAAATTTAAAGATGAAAATGATTGTTCCGACACAACTGAACTAGACCAGGATATTGAAGCTGGTCAGAAAGCAGCTGACACAGTATGTCAGTATGTTGATTGGTTATTATCAACCGTCAATCCTAATCCAACAGATGAGGACATGTGGATAAGACCTGAGGTTCATCCATGTCAAAGAAGTCATCATGACATTTCTGAACATGAAAAACAATCAGATTATGCAGATCTATTAAACATGGTTTAACGACACACTCGTTGTAGTACAAGTTATTGTCTTAAAAAGAAGTCAAGTGAAACAGAGTTGAAATGTAGATTTCACTTCCCTTTTGATAATTGTTCTAAGACAAAATTAGAATTTGAATCACACTATATATTTCTCTGCAACCGATGCTCTCAGTAAGCTTAAATGGAAATCCTTAAAACGTAGAAGAGCCGAGCATCGAGCCATATTTGCATATGAGGCCATCAATAATATGTTATCGCACCAATTTAGTTTTCAACTTAATTGTGATTTCCATAGATATAATACTAGATCTAAGAATAACATCAGGAACACCAAGGCTTCGAGGAGGTGGGGTCACTGGACAACGGTAAACTTTGTTTCTGAAATCTGGAATAGTTTGGATGATGATTTAAAAAGCTCCACCTCGATAACCTCATTTAAGAACCGCCTCGAAAAAACTGAATTGTAATGACTTGTTTGTTCTGTCTAGTTATTTTCATTTGTAATTTAATTATTTTTAGTATGTGTTTACTTGTCCGAGGACCCCTCTGTAAACCACTACTTGTGAAGTTGGTATCCTCATTAAAAAATTATGTTCATTCACACTTCAGGTGATAATGAGCATTATCGAGCTAAGATTGTGACTAAACGAAACGACTCTAGATTAAATAACCATCAACAACTTCAGCTCCAAGGATGGAGAGCTAACTGTGATATTCAAGTTGTTATTGATCACTATGCTTGTGTTGAATATCTCACAAAATATGCAGCTAAAGGTGACCCAGATCACTTATCTTAAAACAGGCATTCAATTCTATTGTGCAAAATGTTGACAGTAATACAGAGCCTCGTAGAGTTATTAAGAAGATAGTTATGAAATCTCTTGGTGAAAGAGATTATGCAGCTCAGGAGACAATGCATCATTTGTTGTCTTTAAAACTCCACAGCACATCCTTTAAAGTGATGCCAGTTATTCTAAATGGTTCACGTAGAGTGCGTGATACTGCAAATATTGAAGAGGGTGAATCGTGCACCGATTATTCACTTCTTGATGTGTATGCTAATCGTGAACAATATGAGAGTTCACAAAATATAATTAATATGAACTTTTTTCAATTTGCTACAAAATACAAAGTTGTTAACGATGAACTGACAAAATTGCCAGAGAATATTATACCACGAATATTTCCAACATATTCTCCTAATCCCAAAGGTCCAAATTTTGGTCTATATTGTAAATATCAACTTTTGAGGTATAAACCCTGGAAAACAACCCAAAATAATGCATGGGGTGACCAAGAACCAACTGACGAGGTTCTGATCAATTGTTGGCATGAATTCTTACAAACACCTTATGGGTAATCTAATGTCCCAGACTGGTTTGATAAATTACAAGCTGTCATTCAAACTCAAGAAGCAGAAGGTGAACCTTCTGAAGAACAGGAAACAACTCGAGAAGAGTGGATGATATTATCAGACCTCAACAGTCCTTTTGACAACTCTGAGCAAACACCAGAGTCCACATATGACTGGCATCTTGACAGAGCCAATTATTCAGAACAGCAGATCCAAGAAATGCCAACATGGATAAAAACAAACAAAGAGGAATACACTATTGATGAACAATATGATGTTGTTGACATCAACAGTTTTAGTGAAATGCAAAAATTTGCTTATGATATTGTTAAGTCTCATTTTGATGACATATCATCTGAGAAAGAGCCATTATGTCTCATTATAAATGGTGTTGCGGGAACTGGTAAAAGTTATCTTATTAATGCTATTAGAAATCTTCTACAAAGTAAATGTGCTGTTGCTGCTACCACAGGTAAAGCAGCTTATAACATTAGAGTTGTAACTGTGCATTCTCTATTAAAGTTACATATAGAATCAAGAGGTAATAAAGACCTAACAGGAAAAAGCTTGTGTAGGTTACAAGAGAGTGTTAATAACATTGGATACATCATTATTGATGAATACTCCATGCTTGGCCAAGTTACTTTTGGTTGGATAGACAAGCATTGCAAACAAGCAACTGGTTCTAATGACAAAGTATTTGGAAGAAAATCATTGATTTTAAGTGGTGATCCTGGTCAATTGCCACCAGTAGCAGATAAACCTCTTTACCATGCTAGACCATCAAATTCTGTTGGTGAACAAGGTTATCAAGCATATCATATGTTTGACAAAGTTGTTAAACTTACTGTAAATCAACGTATGCAAGGTATGACATCTGAGCAAGTACAGTTCAGAGATTTTTTATTATGACTTCGCAAAGGTGACTCAACAGTTGATGACTGGAAGTTACTTCTGACACGTCAACCTTCGAATGTCACTAACTTATGTGACTTTGAAGATTATACTAAACTCTTTTATAGTAATGAACAAGTTGCTAATTACAACCATGAGCAGCTAACGAAACTTGAGCATCTAATTGCTCTTTTAATGCTGGCCATTCATCAGCATTGGCCAAAAAGATATCCTCAAATGATATGTCTGGGTTAGAACCTGTTGTGTTTCTAGCAAAAGGTGCCAGGGTCATGTTAACAATGAATTTGTGGTCAAGTGTTGGACTCTGCAATGGCGCTACTGGGACAGTTGTTGATATTATCTATCAGAACAACCATCAACCACCTGACTTACCTATTGCTGTAATAGTAGAATTTGAAAACTATAGAGGACCGGTTTTTAATGAAAACCAACCATTGTGTATCCCAATATATCCTGTCACATCACAGACAGAAATAGGTTTCCATGAAAGACAATAGTTACCTCTTAGGCATGCTTGGGCTCTAACAATACCCAAGAGCCAAGGACTTACACTTCCAAAAGCATGGATAGATATTGGCAAATCTGAAAGAACTGCTGGAGTATCTTATGTTGCAATTAGCAGAGTAAAGTCACTTGCATCTTGTGTCATTGAACCAATGACCTATGGACGATTAAAAAGCTTGAAATTCTCAGCTAACTTACAATTATAGGCTTGAAGAAGAAAACACGCTAGATCAGTTAGCACAGGCTACTAGCAGTGCATTTAGTATTGACTTGAATAAGAGAACTATTGAGTTTGAATAAGAGAGGGGATTTCATATATGGATCCCAGTTATATGTTGGTATGTAGTTTGACTACTGTACATATACCTTTTAAATAATTTAATTTATTATATAATAACTAATTTACTCCTTGTTATCACTGTATGTATCAAAATATTATGATTTGCAAGATGAAAGAATGGTAAGTTTTTTGTTTGTTTAGCCCCTCCCCCTACCCTACTTTTTTTTTCATTCATTTATGTGCTACCATATTTGTAAGTAAATATCTCATGCTTGCAATTATTTTTTTCGGTAGTTTTGCAATTCTGACGGATGTGAATGGTGCCGTCGGGTGTTAACTGCTGGATGAATTCGAAACCAAATGGTTGTTAAAGTCAAAATATAATATGGACATATTACATCGCATGAAAATGGATGGGAGCTTCTGGACAGAAATGTATTTCTATTAAAACAAGAATGCTGATTTACAAGATTGTATGGATATATTACATCTACTGTAATGCAATGGGATGGAATCTGCCATGTATTATTTTTGCCATATTTGTTTCCAATCTACCATATGGATGTCAGGAACATTGTATGTCAAAATGTTACATATATGTATACCTTTTCCACAATGATGGCCAACAATGACACTACCTGTACATGCCAATAAATACAAAACATTTATATATTGGACAAAAAAGTTTTGCCAAATGGAAAATACAGTATAAACAGTAGACTATGATTACTTGGAAAGAATATGAAAACTTGTAACAATCAATCAACAATCAATCCACAGTTATATCACGTTAAAAGACATATCGGGTGTATTCCTAATTGACTGTGTTCTTCTAGACGTTCTGACAAGTGAAGATGGTTTAAAACATTGGTATCAAAAATCACGTACATACATGTAAATATGAAAATCCGCAACCTCGTTCCAAGTCTTTTCCCTTTTTGTCATTGGGAAGGCCGCGGGAAAAGGCCCTGGCACCGGCCGGTCACATGACTTTCAACACCCAGATATAGTGGGTGTAACTAGAAAATACATGCATGCAGAAACCCTCGCCTTGCTGACAAAACCATTTTATTTTCCGAACGTGAAGTATTTTAAGTAGTTGTCATGGTAAAACGATAATTTTTTAAGAATATTTTTACAAATGAAAAATCCCCTATAAATATCACTTTTAATTACAAAATTATCAATTTCCTAAACATATATATGTTAGGTATGTTATTATACGTAATATAAGCTTGAATTTAAGGTAAAATTCAACCACAAACGCTTCGCAAAACGTTTTAAAATGTTCTTTTACTATAGAACTAAACTGCCTTTATCGATAAACTTTGAGTTCGAAATAAAATGATTCCAAATTCTCCCATGCAAATAACTTTGCTTAGTATAATAAAAAGTGTAATCGATAAAGAAACACTGAAATAATACGCTGTCTTGTTTCATATTTATACACAACGATCGGCTTTTAAAGTAATTACAGTAGGTATGTTATTTCAACGTAATATAAGCTTCAATTTAAGGTAAAATTCAACCAAAAACGCTTCGCAAAACGTTTGAAAGTGTTCTTTTAATATAGAACTAAACTGCCTTTATCGATAAACTTTGAGTTCGAAATAAAATGATTCCAAATTCTCCCATGTAAATAACTTTGCTTAGTATAATAAAAAGTGTAATCAATAAAGAAACACTGAAATAATACGCTGTCTTGTTTCATATTTTATATACGCAACGATCGGCTTTTAAAGTAATTACAGCCGAGATTACAGTATATTAAAAGCAAACAATGCATCAATATTTAAAACAAACTTACCTTCGTTAACGTCGGCACCTTTACTTCCTTCTTTTAGCAATCCTCTTGCCTTCATTTCATCAAAAATCCTTTGCAATTTACAAAATCTTGCAAAAATGAAATATATTTGCAAGAAATCATCAAATCAATTTCGCTGTCGTCAATCGTCATGCAGCCGTTATAATGCAAATTTTAAATTGGACCAATCAGTGTTGGCTATTCATTACAGTCCGCTATATTATGAGATCAGTGAGGATGACCACCCACCGAAACACGCACAGTGACCCACGCCCGCGATATTTGATAAACTTTAGACTTCGCTAATGCTTCCCTTCCCCGGGTGTAAATAGCCGGGGGGAATTAGTACCCTCGCACGGCGCTTCGCGCCGTCGGCTCGGGGATAAATTATAATAATAATGATTAGAAAATCCAAGATGGCCGCCAACCTAAGAGTGTCCACAAAATTTAAGTGCTTAGAGCTGCATAAAAATGCGTTTACTCTTTGAAATTTTTCCTTCTTTTTGCTACCGACGTACTCGAAATCAAATTCTTCATCTTTTATTACATGGGAACTATGTAGTTGCTGTTCTTCCAACTGGGTTTGGTAAATATCGTTCGTTCGCTAAACAAAATTAACAGCCAAAATTATATAGTATTACGACAGATATTCTCCAGCTGGGCAGGCTTGCCTAAGAGGACACGGAAAGTGTTTAGAACTGGGGATGTTAAACTTGGTTTTACCCTTCCAAAGACTCTGCTGTACGACGATTGGGGCGAGTTTATGAGGAATATTTTATACAGTGATTCAAAGAAATGTTTTTGCATATACTGTATATGTTATTGATCTATTGTTGAATGTCACTTATATTATAAAGTGCCAATGGTTGGAATATTTATTCATTGATATTTTAAACACAGATGAAGTGTTATATGCTCTTTCCTTGTTTACGTTTTCCTTGCAGCCAAATGTTGTTGAACAGTTGAAGCTGGCAAGCTGCAAAACTGACATATGAGTGATATGACCCAAATATTGAATATGCATCTTTGTTTGCTTCCAGTAAAATGTAAACAAGACCTTAAGAATTCTATATGAGATAAGAAATATTAAGTTTAAAATCATGACTGGCAAATTAGCATGTGCGAATTGATGCTTCCTAATAATAGTATGTACTCCAGTAAGGCTTGCTTGCTTCATTTCTTGCTGTTACCATCTGCACATTATCAGGGTGGAGAGTTGATTTGAATTTTTTGTCCCAGGGGATAAAGGTAGGGAATAGATTTTCCAAACAAAACGGGCAAGGTGCCCAACCAGTTAGAAGATGGCATGTACTTTATGTGACCATTCATTATACCCTAGGGTGGGGTGGGAGATTCTTATGTCAAAATGTCAAGGGACCCCTTTTTAAATTAATCTCTTAATTTAACAATGGAGACCTTTCCTAATTATTTAAGACTATATAACATGATACAATTCTAATCTTCATTCATGTGAATGCCTGACTATGAAGAAAATACATTTTGCAACACAGGGATGGATCCAGCATGATCTGGTAGGGGGGGGGGGCGTGCTCTGCCAGCTCTAGTGCCGAGTTGTTTCGGTCATGTGTGCCGCCCGCCCATCAACTTGCTTCACTACTGCAAAGTCTTGCTTTACTACTGTATTTGAATTGTAATTGTTGTTCACAGCTCGCTTATCATCACGTTATTACTCAAATTACTGTATCTCATTTTGCCTGTAATAATTTTTTGCTTTATCATGAAAAATAGCACCCCTCTGGCCAGGGCTAGGGGGGCGCGTGCACCCCCCCCCAGTAAATCCATCCCTGTTGCAACATACACTATAAGAGCTAGAATGATTGCTTCCTTTGGATGATTTGTCTTAGAATTATCTTACCTATATTACAACAATTTTTCCTATTCTGAAACCAGTTGCTATTCTGTTTTTTACAACGACACTCATCCCCTCCCCCCCCCAAAAAAAAAAAATTCCAACAAATCAAGGACCCCCCCCAAGGCAATTTTGCAGCAAAATAGATTAAATTTGATGGTAACTGTTCTGAGAATATATTAACTCATTGAGTGGCAGCATTCTGCCTAGACTTGCCACAAGTCGACCTCGAACGAAACGCAAGCAGCGAGTGTGAGCAGACATTTCGTTCGAGGTTGACTTGCAGCAAGTCTACATTCTGCCCTTGAGTAAAATTGTCTGGCACCAGACGGGTAATATACTAAAGTAGGGACATTGCCACTATAAAGGGTTAAACAAATTTTAAAAAATTTTGCAATGGTCTATATTCAAAAAGCTCAATTTGTAAATTTTAATTGACTTTTATATAACTACTTATACTTACAGCTACCTTGCCCCAGTCACTTCAAGTGAATTCTACGGAAGGAGGGGGACATTGAAAATCCCTTGGTTTACTTGGT